TGATGATGATGATGATGATGATGATGATGATGATGATGATGATGATGATGATGATGATGATGATGATGATGATGATGATGATGATGATGCATTTGGAAAGCTAGGCTCGTGTGATTCACGATGTAACCAACCGTGAAATATATCCACCATCGAGCTCATCTGTAAATCAACCCCCGTCTTCGGGCCCAGGTTACAAGTGAACTAAAAGGCCACTTCGTTTTTGACTCCGTGGTATAAACCACGGAGTCTAGCAATGGGATCTCCAATATCCTCTGTTTTGGTATATATATATGATACATCGAATGGAAAGCTTTATCCGGATTCCGATACCCACCCAAGATATTCTGGAGTTATGTAGATAACATCGCCGTAATGAAACGAGACAAAGAAGTTTACAACTGTCGAAATGAACTGAATCCACACATTAAATTTCGTATGGAGATACGGTCAACTTCAGGTACATTGGTCTTTTTAAACTGCATGAAACATAAGAAAACTAAAGACCACAGTGTAAGAAAAGCCAATGGATAGTGGAGCAATGTTGAACTACTCGGTCGTTCATCCGAAATGAGTATTCGTTGGTATTGCCTCATCAACGTTTAGGCGTGTAAGGTCCCTGTGCACAGAAGAAGCTGATCGGACAGCGACCCAAAATGAAGTGAAGATCAAACATCGGGATAGAGGATATTCAGCTAGTTTGATTGGGTGCACTCTGAATTGGTGCGATTGAATGATCGCCTCCAAGAAAACAGAACCAGGGACTGTCTACACAATTAAGTGTAGCGACTGCACTAAGGTCTATAAAGGACAGACGGCCAGGGAACCTGACATCAGGACCGAAGGGGATAGGAGAAAAATGAACAGGCTGCCGAGAAACGGGGATGAATATGAAGCGTTATTGAAAGACTCAGCAACTGCGGAACACCGGACACAGTAGATTTTAAAAAAAAGCTGAAGTCTTGAGGCGAGGACTACGGTTCATGTCACAGAAACTGATGGCCATCATTCAGTTACAACACCTTTCCGGTGACTAACTGCCATGTCACCCTCTCACACCCCATTTTCGAAATGTCGTTGCACAAAGCCAAGCTGGTATAGAGGATTGATGTGTAGTATTCAAAGGTATCCAACGGTCCTTTGCAAGAACCGACCAGTAATCGGAATGAGTAGAACTGATAGCGACTAACCTGGTTGTGCCGTCGGAAGGTGTTTGTTGGCTTTCGTGACATCTGAATGGTGTAACGTTTATGCTGGTAGCTGATGCCGTATGGATGATGTCATCTCGCTTGGTGATGGGACGCTTGTTACAGCTCAGTGAACAAACTAAATGTGACAGCCTAAAGACGTCAGTTTGTTGGGTGATGAGTAAACAAGCCAGAAAAACAAAACACACTGAGCCGAAGTTCTCGGTTTTCAGTGTTGTCTGCTGATTTCCGACCAATGATCTCACCTAAGAAAGTTCCCCTGATTCTCATGGCATTTTATCTTATTTGCACGGTCACTAGCGGCAGTCAATTCGTGAAAATCAAACTACACGGGCAACTGAATATGTACACAACTACTAAACGCGGTCAACTTCCACCAGTGCCGGCAGGAAATTGGTCTCACAAGAATGAGGGACTTATCTTGGGACTACCCAAAATGACCACTAGAAAGTATTTATACGGAGATAAAGTCTGGAGACATAAGTTGGATGGCTGCCTAATTAAGGCGCACTCAATCGGGCTTGACTACATATTACCACATTGAAAAGATATAGATAATAGAGCTAGGAAACCGCAGTCATACGTAAGGCAAAGATTAGTAAGCACTAAGTGCAGCTGCTGGAATGAACCTGAATTTTCCGGATTAGGTTCGCTGCCGTAATCGGTAATTTGGGCGGACGTAGTCAATGATAGGTTCACCATAAAATACCTCCGCGAAATTGTCGGACTGCAGACAGCTCAAGCTATTCTTAACCCTTTTCACAGCATCCATGCGTAAAAGAGAACGTTTCTCATGGCGTATGCAGCCTACTTGGCGGAAAACGTGATTATAAAGTCTCCTAGGCTGAGAAACATCGACGCGACTATCGAAAAAATACCACTTACTGCGACCCATGTTCGCATAGCAAACACATGAATTCCATCGCTCCCAAGCACAACCATCTTTGATCCATAGACAGAAATTGAGTGCGCGCAGGCGCTCTTCCCGGCAGAAGCCTGAAGTGTCAACAAGTGAATATGTAAGTGTATCAGAAAAGGACGAAAGGTAAAAGTTTTAATATTAAGGCTGACAAAGAAGTTCATCTTAGCGAAGTTTGCCTAAAGCTGGCTCATTTGCCATTCGGTAAGAGAAAATGGATCCGGCTGATTCCCCGGTGACCACATGCCAAACGAAGCAAAGTTGGAAAATTTAGCAGAAGGGGGTTATCAAACATAAGGTGGAATACGTTTACTTATCGACCGGATTTCCTTGAAAGTATGCCACAGTACAATAGAAACCGTCACATAAAACGAAAGTGATTTATCAGGTCCTGAATGAAACAAGGCGGTAATTTCCGATAAGCCTATCAGACTCCTATTAATGCACAAAAGAGATTATCACCAGTGGAATAAACAATCTGCTGGGATTCCACCGGTCCAGTACGCTACCTGGGAAAGTACATCATTAAAGCCAAACGTGATGTAATAAAAATTTAGCCGATGACAGATTAACACGACTGGACGGGAGGATTTTGGACGGTAAAAACCAAGTTCATTAATAGAGGGAAATTGAGAGTAGAATACTCACCAATGCCTCGCTGATTAAGCCTCGATCTTGGAGTCCCTTGAATAGTTCGGAGTTATAAGAGATTCCGACAGACGAGAGGTCCAATATCTACAAAAAATGACCAATGAAGTGAATCACTTTCTACGATACAGTAGAGGCAGTGGATAGGTTGATATGTAGTGAATGGAAATTAATCTGACACAGCTCAAAAAGTAACCCAGCTAGTAAACGGTCCATCAACTAAAACCTCAGATCTATATGCAATGCAATAGGCAATAATCAAATGAACGGTCAAGTGAAAAGCATTAGGTTTTTGACACAAACGCTAACAATAACGATAGCAGAGGTGTAGAAGCACCACTCACAAGGTGGATTGTTGCTATTATTTGGTAGTACCAGTTCTTTGAAGGTTCCATCATATGTTGAGTTTTTTAGGAATCGTTTACATACATATTGCGCAATATACCGATATCTTTCTGTTTCAGTGACAAAAGGTATCATTATTATTGTTATTGTCATCATCCCCATCATCAGAGACCACGTCAGTGTCGACGCTGATAATTCACAACTGTGCAATCATCAGCTAATTATATTTAAAGCCTCCATGAAAAAAGGGAAGAAACAGAGATCTGTTCATAGTCCAGCGCACGTATTTCGAGACGTCTACATTTCCAAATGTTGAATGAGACAACCTGAAAAGAAACTGAGGGCATGAATTTCACTGATTAGCAGAGTTTCTTACAATGTCTCCAGCCAAGCGCAGGGAGAGTCGAAGCGACATGCTTCTGGAAGGTACCCAAACTTCATTTACAACTTTCTGCCAAGTCACACATTGCCCACTTCGCAGTATGGGGCATTCTGAAGGAGTTTCTAAGAGCGATACTCGTCTCACGCGCAAAACATGCCCAAGCCGCCATACTTGGCGGAGCTGAATGTCCTCCGAGACTGCAGTAGCTACTGCACAACGAAACACCTCTCTTCTCTGTAGGTAGATACCAATTCGTCAACGCCATCACATATACTCGACACTTCTGACGTCAGTGATCAAAAGCTTGAGGAATTCTCACAACATTTGTCCGCAGGGGCCGTCTCACAACCATACAACAACGCAGCCTTTACTGTAGCCTCATAAACGAAACTCTTGAGAATCTGCGAAATGCCACAGGTATGCCAATTGGCGAACGTGATTTAAGCACTTAAAGTTTTGCACGGATTTTAACAAATATACTATCGTCAAATCTACCACCATCATTATCATCATTGACAACATGATATCAGTGTCCAATATTGATGCTTCGTTGCCGCTATAGCTACCGGGGCATGTAGGACTCTCTACACTCTCAGGTGCTTTCTCACAGGTTGCGTCTTTAACCGGAACTGATAGTATCCAAATTAATTTTGGTTCAAAAGGAGTGTAGTGTTTACCGGTGTGTGCCAAAGGGAGAAATCCAGGAATCATGTTTCATGGAGTTACTTACGACCCGAAGGTGAATCCTTACGCAAAGACCTTTTGTTATCCTACTGACCCACTTCAAAGTAATTGAAACCGTCATCTGCGGGAAGCACATTGCACAATAAACACAATTTCGGTGAATTCTGAAAAACGTCGAGCTCTTGCAGAAATATTTATGATGAACGAAGTCATACATAGTCATTATGATGGGACTAAAGCCAGCACTTTTATCATAACTATGAAGTTCGCTGAGATTTCTATACGCTGAGCTACAGAAAAAAAAATAGGTAAACATTGAGGGGATACGAATATCAGCATATCGATCCTGAAAACAACTGAAACTACAGTCAAAAATGTCATTTAGGTACAGGATAAGCATACTCAACTGCAAACTACGATTCATTTTCACCCTCGAGTTGGAAATGTATGAGGAACCGAGTTCCCACAGTTCCTATTCTCCGTTAACAAAAACAATTACTCACTTCAATATCTCCTCCGTTCGAGCTGTCGAGTAAATGCAACTGACTGGCACTATCCAAAGCGACCATTTGATTTTTCGAGGAGATCCACTGGAAGAAATAGACGAAATTTTATAAAATCGAGAACAGAGAACCAATTCCTCAGAGTAAACCACAGGTTTCCCATAAAGGAAGCCAACCACTCCTTCATGTGGTGTTCATTCTCAAGAGGATGGATGTCAAGCCAAAATCAATAGAAACTGTAAGAAAACTACAAAGTCAGTAGGCATAGTTGAATTTCAAAGGCAGGAACAAACTTAAGGTGAAGATAATATACTGAAGTCCCAACAGCAACTGATTCCTGTCGTCGATATCAGAGTGGGGTGGAAAGCAGACAAGCGTTGTATAGCTGCAGCATCGGCAATACATCGAAATACCCGTAGCTCTGGTGCGTTATTTGGTTGTACATCAAGTGGATATTGGTCTGTTCGTCGAAGTTGGTGGTTCGCTTGCAAAGGTTTTGTCACTAATTCTGTGGACATCAAAAATGCTTGCTGACGAGAGCTTAGAGAGCGACGAGGGTGACAAAGCCATAGATTACACAGTTTATAGCAGAAATGATACACATAAGGTGATCCGTATCTGATGCACCGCTTTCGTGAACGTGATATCGAGGACAGATAATTCAGTATCACAGGTTTATGAGGGATGAAAGCGCTTGATTCCTCCGAAACGAGGTTATACATAATGGGGTTGAAGCTAGTTAAACCATTCGGTAACTCAGTTTCATGGAGACATTGAGGCCTGATATGGTTGGTTTATGAGTCCAAACTGATCTTCCAATCGGAATTACAAATTGGATTCAAAGCGCCGAAGATAATGCTCGACAACGGCAAATCTGTCACTCGATGGGAGCAACAAACTCGCGTGTCAAACGAAGCGTCCATTACCCGAGGCCCAGTTAATGCACTACTTTATATCACTCGAGTTCAGTCCCACGTTAACCAAAAACATTCCACTCACCAGAAATTAGAGTTGCACCGAACAGGTTAAATTGAATTGGAAACAGTTGCTGATAGGATCAAATCTACTGTGATCCGCAAAGTAAGATGAAAATTGGAAACCCAAACTGGCAACCAAGTGCCAGAGGAATTATCTCAGGTCAGTAAGACAAAGCAGAACTCCATTAACCAATGGCTAATATGTGTTCGATCAAAAACCGATCGAACGGTTGGTGTCTACAGAACAGACCGAATAACATTATCCGAATCGATATGAATAAACGTCATTTGCATTCGCACACACGCTCAACAGTAAACCCACTCCCAGCAAGAAGTAAGCCAAAGTGAAGTAAACGCGCCTACTGGGTCTAACTTTGGAACAAGCGAGGGCTACATTGCCAGGTGACAAGATAAGTGGTAATATTTTGGAAAATATAGTACACGTCGGAAACAGGAAAAAAGTTGGGCAAACTGACAGTGATGAGGGTGTTATGATCAAACTTACCATTACGATTTTGGCGGTCATAAAGGTGGTGAATAACACCGAATGACGGATTAACCGGGCAGTAACTGAAGTGAGTTGTGGTGTTGGCAGTAATGCAGATAATAGTTGAGAGTATTACTGAGTATTACATGAAGTTCGCAGTTGACCTCGCGTTTTGTTTAAATTCATTGCTTTTTCGCTACACACTCATTCATGCTGGACTTTCACATGACGCTAAGGAACAGTTCGAGAATATCGGGGTTCTGAGGGCTTAGGCAAATGAGTTTTTGGCTGCTGTGTTAAACACATCGAGTTTGGCGATACGCAACTGGAAGTCTGACCAACTCATTGCGATGGTATGGCTAAATTAGCACGACGGAAGGTTAATCACTAGATAGATTCAGTTGCCCAGCACCGTACGAACTGCGCACACCAGGCGGACAGTCGAGTTCAGAAAAGTGACCTCAAAAAGTGACTGTTTCGTATGTGTTGGTTGTTTGCTATCTGGTTTCTCGCAGCGGGTAACTATAAATACATCTCGGAACGCGCATTCTGGTGACATCGTGGTGGTTATTTTGGTGTGGGAAGGTTCACGCGCATCCTAATCACAAACTTGTTAAAATAAATGAGCGGTTAAACACTAAAAAGTTCGACCATACACACACAGTACTTATGTGGTAAGTGAGAATCTTTTCGGATCTAATGCTACTGGGGAACCCTAATCTCCCACCACAGAGAAGGAACTGTTTGAAGCAAAGCCACAACGAAGCTACTCACATTGAGTGCCAGGAGGTTGTATGACAATTCGATGGAATGTGTCAGTTCAAAATGGAGTGCACCTGCAGCGGACAAACTCCGATTGGAAGGGACTTCTGACGGATGGACAGCACGAAGCAAGTGCACGACTGATCCACGGCCGAAAGCTAGAACAGCACGAGACGAGCAATTGCAAGCACAATGCCGATGGTCCCACTGCCAACTAAGGAGAGGAAGACACGAGGCCGGACCCTGAAGAAAAAAGTTGAAAGCACAGAGGAGCGTTTGAATTGGACTGTCAAGCAATAAACCACAAAGCTATCCATTCGGCATAGTCATGAATTCATTGTAAATAGTGAATAGTATGCAAAATAACTATGACAGTCCTATTTCTGTCAACCTCTACCATTTAGTTTAAGAGTCGAGTGTGTCGCACGAAATGAATCAAAGTGGTTATATGGGTAAAAAAATATGAACGAGTTCCGAATACTTCTGACTGACAAAATTGTAGCCAGCCACAAGAAACAATCACCGAGCTGCATTTTATTGACAGCTGCTTAAGCAAATCGAATTCACTCGACAAGGAGTAGAGTCGATCGACTCACTGACCAGACTGGCTGTTGATAGAACTGAAGAACTGAATTCGGGATGCACCAACAGAGTAAAATAAGCTAGTTAGGGTACTACTCATAAGGTTGCTGAAAATCCATCGACAGCCCATGACCGGTTTCGCCCTTCTTGGCAAAAAACAAAGATAAGGCATCTAGTAGGTTCCACTGAGAACTCAGATTAAAGACAAACTCGAAATAAGTCTTCCGTGCGGGAAGACTCTCCTCAGTGCTCGTACAAGGAATCTGTGTTTCACAAAGGTAACAGCACTCACCAGTGAAGTTCTGAAGTGACCCAAATCTGGGAGTTGTAGTGATCGTTCAGATTAAGCCTGTATAAAGCGTACCGCAGATCGTGCAGTTCTATTATGCGAATGAATTAGTTGGTTGTTTGAGTTAAATAGTACATATTGCCTCTTTTTGGTATAAGAAGGCGTCAATTTGCATGTCCGGGTGGAACAGAAACGTCCACCTAAGGAGCGAAGAAATTCTTCCCTGCTCTCTGATCCATCTTGTAAGACGATAGTGAATTTTCACCAAAAAATCTTGAGTTCACAAAGGAAGGAAATATGTAATGATTAAGTCCAGAATGCTTTTACTGGAAGAGCAGTCTTAAGGGAACCCAAAGGTTGATGAATCTGACACACTGTCTGTCTGACAACGAGTGGTGCGTTTGAACCGAAGATGTATCACTCACCAGCTTAGGTTTTCATCACTGAACCAGTTCAAGTCCTTCGTATGAATTTCATGACAGACCATCGCGTTAGCAGACTGATGCATTGTTTAATTGAAATTTAAATCCCTAATGTTGTTTGACGCCGACAACTGCAGGAAGTTGCGATAATTCAGCCAAATTAAGTAAAACCGATGACCCGGTGCATATTAAAATGTATTCAGCTTAGTTTAGTTCACAATTCGACGGGACGGAGAATTCAGAAGAAATCGCGAGTTCAATCTTGAAAATTTCATAATACCAGAGTGGGTTGTGATAACGGTATTGCACGCATAGACTGTAATACAACTTCAGCTGTTCCCTCTGAAGCATGCTGCGTTTCGCAGAAATTGCTGACATGTTAGCTGTTACATGGCATTTCACGCAACTCGGGAATAGAAACACCGACCCGGTCCTCAAAAGTAGGTTGTTCTATCGGTTCTCGTTCTATCTGATCGCCTATTTTGAGTTTCTTCGGTGCCGGGACCGTAGGTATGGTATAATACATTACGGTAACTCTGCGCGCAGATGTTCCAGCCATTGACAACCAACGAATCTTAGCTCGAAACGTCCAAACCTCAGAAATTAAAATAAAAGTAGAGTTAGCACCGTAAGAGACTCAACGGTCAGTGGCGGTGGCTGAATTCGGAATGAGTAGTAAGATCAAACGGCCGGAAAACAGCTATATTCGACGTGATGTGGCTAATTACAGCGAACATCGGTAAATCACTCCCCCAAATATCCCTCCAACGACCTGAAATGGTAGTGAGGCGACGAACTGAACGAAAGCGGAGTGGATGTACCCGGAAAGTTAGCCATAAAGAAAAGGGCTAGAAGGCAGTTAATTAGATTATGACTCGTAGTGCAGCTTCTACTGTTTCATCAGGACAGCTTATCCTACTTACCCAGCCGACAGGATCTAAGCAATGTGACCGTTCACACTCCCAGACTTTACATATAGAGGCGCGTGGTGAACACCAAGTTTGTGAAAACTACTTAGCGTATGAAGAAGAGCCACACAACGGCTGAAGTGGTTGTGTATCCGCAAACATATTTTAAACTGCGTGAGAAACAATTAAAGGTAGAAAAAGGACTTATTTTTATCCTGCTCACGTTATCCTGCTCATGTCGTTAAGACGTAAGCCCTGCTGTTGACAAACAAACCGTTTTTACGCCGGTTACATCAGCATTGGATGTCAACCAGAGCAAATGGCAAACAGGACGCAAGGCAGGAAAGGCGGGAAACAAAATAGGCCCGCGTGGGTGTCCAACTGATTCAACTAAGGAGAAGCAGTTTGTGTCAGTTCATAGTTTCTCTATGGCGTGTTCCTGTAGTGGATGAAACGGACAGCCACAGAGCTTGAAGAACAATCGGCAATCTTAGAACGAGTCCAAAGGATACTCCACACTGCACAACCACATCAGCGATGACTTGTTCAGAATGCATGGCGACCCATCACGTCACCACTCCAAGATATCGCCCACCAAGCCCAGCAACCAAACATACCAACTTCGGAGAGCGTAAGCATACAAGAATTCTGGAGAATGAGATTTCGAATAGAGTCGATTAATTTTAGTTACAAGTGAGCGACTGTTAACTGATTGTGTGCCAGACCTTACGAAAAGATAAGCGAGGTTTCTTTGAGGATCAGAAAAGACATCAACCCGCACACAGAGAGTAGGCTGGCTCTCAAGTATTTTCAACGCTTGGCAATGATCACGATCTAGCTCTAAGGATCTGTAAGATGTCTCGTGAAAATGCTCCATAATCTTACTTTCAGCGGCTGCCAATAGACTATTTGGATGCGTGGGCGTAGAGTAGCAATGACCAGTTTGGTGAATGAAGCCATTGCGACCAAAGCGTAGCTGGCAAGACTTTGTGCACTGGCAGAACGAAAGAAGTCAACCTTGTCGTGAGAAGAGGACTGGGAGACGGCATCGCCCGCAACACAACCTGCCAAGTGCTCAGCGTATGACGACGAAGACCCTAGTGTGTCCAGTCCACAGATCTCGCCACGACTATTAAAACGGAAACGATGAGAAGGGGCGGATTACAGCAGCAAGGAATGCCTTATCGTCATTAAAATTGTGTCAACATCTGAAACCCATTAGACTTAAAGAAAACCTGTTACATTGCTCCGAAACGCGGCCAGAATATTCAGTACACTAATAAAAATCCGAAGGTCATTAGGGCCGTAAGTGTACGAAAGCATAAACGACCACCTGACTGATAGAGTGTACACTGATCAAGCAGTATGGAGTAAAATATAAGGAGAAATGCAGTGCGGACAAACGGATTGATCGATACACAAGTTGCACAATGCATTCCATTTGAACGGATAAACACAAGAATCCACGTTTGAACCCATGCGCAAGCAGTGGACAGTGAACCCAAAGGCAACGCCGTACAAAAGCTGCTGGTTCACTGTAGCAGGTGTACAAGCCTAATTAGTCGAGACGCAACAGTCAACTGTCCGCCCATATATCAGGTTAGGGTTTGTGTTGGTTACTGAGCCGACGATGCTCCTCTGAGCAAAAAACTGCAGTACAACTCTAATGATCATCAAAAACGGATCGATTTCCGTAACATGACATGAATAAAACAATAATTCTTCAGCTTTTGGATGCGTTGCTTCCACACCACTCCAAAAAAACACGAGGGCTAAGACAGTGCCAGGCTACCCAAAAAATCGTTCAGCAGTAACATCCTTTCGGTACCTAACTATCATGCCACCAGAAGGAAGCACGAGGGCTGGAATATTGCCAGGTTGCCCAAGCCTAGAAAGAGGAAGTCGAGAGACAGAGGTCGGATTCGAGTCACGGGCCTTCCGATCAGAAAGTTCGCACCTTAACCACTGAGCTATCTTGAGCCCGCGTCTACCCAGAAGTGAACTGAGGGTACAAGCCTGATGTATAGTGTAACTGGGAACCATTATTGTTCCCAGTGGTCCACCAAACATATTCCCACCTTCAGTCATCTGATCGCGGTGAATGAATGCGACGCCTAGGTTCACGAAAGATCAACCGCATTCCCGTGCTCTGCGATACTGTCTAGCGCTCAATAACTAAAGCATGCCAGTGGGTACAGCAATGTTTAGTGACAAACACTCAAATCGACTGTTTTCAGGCTAAATTCAGGCACCTAGATGTACAGCTACTCACAAGTGATAGATAAATGCTTATAGTTGCGGTCAGATGCAGACTCGGTTGCAAGCAGTTTTGAGCATACTAATACCACATCGGGTCGAACATAGATTCAAACATCTACAACAACAGATGCATAGGGTAGTTCCCACCTGAGCCGAGGAAAATAGTACAGAATCGTAAAAAACGCTCAAGCTGTTCGCCATATAAGTGAACGCAATAACAAATTAGTCGTCCCTCAGTTACCACACTGCGTTACAGTAGTTCATATGAACAACTTGGACGCAAAAAGCTACACACGTTGCAATGGATAAAAAACAGTCGAAGTAATGACCCGCTAAATATTGCACATGTCATCCGTTGCTAAGGCTGTATCTGTAGTTTGGGTTCAAGCATTCGGAATAGACCAGATGACTTGGTGGATGTACAAGATCATTTTGCGAACAAGAACCAGCATTCCGCCATTTGTTCTAAAAAGATACGGTTATAAACTCCATTTTCCGGGAAAACTCAAAAATGAGTTTATCACACGGCAGTCGATTACTATTCAATTTCTGTTACGTGACCTGAAGTAGCAGTAGCACAAGCCACAAGATCTTCAAGTAAAATGGATAAGTCTCCTCTCCCCGAATAGCCAAGGGCATCCAACGATAGCGATACACTGGATCTACGTATATACGAAAATAAGGCCAACAAACACACTCAATGGTGTTCAGAATTTCCAGTCGACTAGGCCAGTGAATACAGACGGTAACCACAGTAGTTCGACTAACCTGCCAGAAAAGAAGCATACTGCCTCTCGCTTCAGTCCAGTGAGCCCTCTCCTGTATGGCAGGGAAAGTGGAAATAATTTGCGTCAAACAGTGGCGAGTGTGTGTAGTACGCAAACAAACATAATGCCAGTGGACAAAAGCTTCATGACGAGCAGCGATGACGGCGAAACACACGGGATGTGGGAAAAACCTTCACCTTCAAGAGAGTTTGACCGCATGGATAATGGATTCCGCTCACTTACTTAAAATGGAGTTGAAAAACCGATCCGCCAGTATCTACGCAAACCGCCAGGGAGGGAACCGTGGTGAACAGACAAAAGTGAATAGCTTGATCAACACCATGAGCATCATCTACAATGCATAAAAGGCGACTCCTGAAACGATCCGTCGTTGAACCACTCCCAGCACGAAGGGAACTCAGACGACTGGTCAATGATCTGACAGGTGTGTGAGAAGTCTCTGAACCGAGTGAAAGATCGACAGCGCCTTGGCTATTATCCTCGGCTGTAGTCTCATCCGTTGCTGTGTCTTTGCCGCTGGTGGATTCAGCCGGCGCAGTGAGCTGCCAAACAGCAATGCGACCACTAGAATAGCCAGACAATAGTAGAGAACCATCTCTGTTCTGACAAAGCGAGGTGACGGACCCATGTAAATCAGCATTAGCATCTTTTTGATCTCCACTACAACCAAAACAGAATCGCAATACCTGACGGAGACCTAGAGAAAGGGGCATGCAGAACGAGTGAGGAATAGAGGACCATAAAGTATAATGTCTCAGTGAAATGCTATAATTGCTGGTAGAGTTAGAAAAATGCCCTCTTGATTTGCCTAGCTGTGAAATTCAGCTATACAGAATAAAAATACCCATGTACGTAGACAAAATGAAGTGATGGGTTACACAGTTGCAATGTCGCAACAAGAGTGATCGACAGACTTAACCTCACCGAAGGCTCTCAAAACTGCTTAACCAATAATGCTGGTATTGTCATTCGGATAGGCTAAGAAAGAGAGAGGCATGAATTTAAAAAGTTACCACGCTGCTTTCTTCAACCAGTGCACTGACTGTTTCATGGCTGTGTTGCTGCTTTGAATCTAACTGATCAACTTTCACGGCAGTTTGGAAATGGAAGACTAAGGCAGTCAAAAAATGGAAACTTTGTAGGTTATTATGAACAGATCGATGGAGATGGTAGGGCAAACATAACGAACAGTTCCTCCAAAACCTAAGGACAATTACTGCCCACAGGAGCGAGGAATACATCTGCAAGCCCTTGAGATGGGAGCCGAAAAACCAACCCACGGGATTGGACAAGCTTCCGCAAACTGAGAAAAGCACGTCATGACAAGCATACAAAGAAACAAATACACAATGCGAAACCATGTGAGACATCTCCTAGATTCTGACGAGTAACAGTCCAAAAATTGTAAGAACACAGGCGTACAGCTACGACGAGTTATTTGAATAAAGCTCCACCGATGAAAGATGACAAAGAGACACGTAGAGGATATGAAGCAAACACCCGACGTGCCAACACGTCCAGTACTCAGTTGAACAATGTGGACAAAACTCACAGCATGGACACCACTGAAATTGGTCGGTCGCGCCCTTTGCCCATGTTTCTGGCCAAACAGTATGAAGGTCTCGTGAGCCTCAACCTGGAAGGCAAACTGCATCAAAAGCACCTAGGTTTTTCAATCTCCTCCACTAAGTCATACTGTGTTCACCTCTGGGCTTCCGCCACTCCCAGCTGGGCACCGTGGGCTGATGGTACCTCGACATGGCCTATCCATTTTAGTTTCAAATATTGGATGCAGTCCTTGAGTGAGACACCTCCTGCTTCAATATAGATCAGAATCCCAACCTACTTATTGCGAACTCGCTCATTTCGGTTGGTTTTATCTATAGTTCTGAGATCAAAAGCCTGAAGACGTTTCATATCCTCCACCTGAAGTGACTGAGTCTCACAACCGTACAACATTATAGCCCGCGCTGTAGTGTGGCTAATGACACCAAGATTGGTGCAAATCAACAAACGTAACTTTGGTCTTTGAGATTTATGCGTTGAATTTGTCTGTTACACTATCGACAGAGCCAATGCATTTCTCGATATGCCTGCAACGTTCCACAGCTTTGAGTGTCACTCCTGGAGTTCAAAGACTGTATGTCCACGTTGTGTTTTTGGGTGCAAAGCACAGGCCGAAATGTCGAATGAATTTGGCAAACTTTCCCAGCAACGCTTGCACATCCCCCTGAATTTCAAAATGGAAGAAACTGTCGTGTTCATAGTTCGGGTCGACAAGGTAAACACTCAACGAGGTCGGAAAATCGGGATATTGGAGACATCCAAACTTTGTCACGATACCTTATCATGAACGAAATTATACACCCTTCCATCAATGTTTTGAGGAGTTACCCATACACTCACACACCCACAAGTATGTAGCCAACAATAATAATAATACATCAATGTTGAGTTACCCATACACTCACACACCCACAAGTATGTAGCCAACAATAATAATAATAATAATATGATCGTTCAGTCGTAACATAACACGTGCCTAGCTGCCATGTCACTCGAAAGGAGCATGAGGGCTGGGATGCTGCTAGTTTACCCAAGCCTAGACAGGAGAAGTCGAGATGCAGAAGACGGTTCGGACCACGGACCTTCCGATCAGTAGATGCACGTCCTAACCATTCGACCGTTTCGTTCCCTATGTTACTACGAACAGCGCACGATAATCACGAACTTCTGGAGCATGCCATGTTACGCAAACGTGTTGAAAACAACTAGCCGGTCGATAGAATCGAGCGCATACGTTGAGTCAAGTAACAACAGGATTCTAGGGCGTCTAGCCGCATGTTGTTGCTTTACCACTTGCAAGGGATGTAAAGATGTGGTCCACACAACCTATTCCAGGCAGCAATCTTGCTTACTGTCCACGGCTCCCATCTTCACGCGCTCCACTGGATGTTCGCTGGTAATCCGTCCAGCCCCGTGGTATTTCGGGCAGGTCCATTTTTGTCTGCTTCAAGTAGCCCATTGTCTTAAACTGCAATATTGATTAAAGTAATGGAGCGTTGATAAGTGGGAAATCGAAACCCGAGGTGGTCTTCAGTAAAAAAGGTTTGTTGATCAGCTGGAGGGTTTTTGAAATTTGGCTGATAATGATGTCAGCTCGTAGAGTGGGTCTCACCTTCGGTCCTGTATGGCTTGATAACTGCACGCATTGTGCAGACATCTAGAGTGAGTAGTGTCAGGACATTCTTGCCTGGTACTACGTGAAACACCGTTAAGATGTTGGAAAGACAGCAAAAACTACCTGAACAGACAAAACGAAGGGAATTACTAAAACTACGGTCTGTTATTTGTACAACCAGACGATGTAATACGAACATCGCAGTGGGCTACCTCAACTATGAATACTTAAGCTTGTGGGTTTGACAGAGACCAGAGAGAACAGATAGGTTTAGCGCCACAAAACAGCACAATACCGCACTTACTAAAAACGAATATAACACCTTTGGTAGTTCCAATAATCAGGTGAGTCCGGTACGACTAGAAGGAAAGGGAAAGCAAAATTTAGCGCATGGATCCAAGTTGCTTCGAAAAAATAAGATAATCAACCATCTAACTGAATTTTTCCGGCGCCTATTGAAATATCAGTTTCTTAAACATAGAACTAGGGCAGTCAAAACAAACCAATCATTCAACCAACATGGAAAAGCGGAAATATCCGTAGATATTCAAGTTCCGCCAGTTAACAAGAACTGTTTTGAGCGAATATTACTCAGCTAAAAGAAATCGGGAGCGAATATGTGTGCGCTCACCATCCCTGTACCGAGCTAGGTTAGGACAACGCAGATCGAGGATACTCATGGATGTTCGTAATAAGTTATCACTTATCACTTAAAACAATGGCGTAGTTTTGACACAACATATAAATGCTATCAAATGCGCGCAGACCTAAAGTCGCACTTATCAATGGAAGATGATTGGGGAAGGAAATACAAGTGGCCTCAAGAACGACGATGATTTACAAATTATTCCACTTCCGCCACTGAGACTTAGGACACCTGCGCTGAAGAGCAGTAAGTTTCCGAAAACCACAGCTTGGTTAAATATTTGCTTATGTCAAGAAAAATGTTGGTCGACTTTCCAGTGTAAAACTGATAGGCTGATAAGGCACCCGACAAGCCTGGTTACTGCTCATCCTTCCAAACTGCTGCTGACACAGACAACGAATGGTGTGGTTGGTTTACGAAAAACCATGTCCAAGGAGCGATGAGCTTTGATAAAACCAAGTCGCACCACTCTCGTGTTGTCCCTGCTTTGACATTCAATGCTTATTGAGTGGCAAAGCTGGATGCCGCCATCGCAAAAAACAACATAATAAGCACAATAACCACACTTGCCTCGCTTGTAGTCTAATGTGCTTGATGATCCGCTACCACTTGAATTCATTAAATAGTCAATCTAAATGGGACTGGTCTATTGCCCTGTACTACAGCGCGAATCGCAACCACCACACAGTTGTGAAAATGCGACCCAATGATGCCTGCGGTGCGCATTCACCCCATGTAATGGACAGAGCTGAACACGAAGGAATCAGTAACGATAACAACACGTTCCAAAATGGTGCAGTCAAAGTAATTACCAGTCGTACGGTGGAAAACCACAAACTCTGGAATGCCGCCACGTTATCCACGCCCAAGTACGAGAGTTCAAAAAGGCTGGGATTATTTCGAACCGGACACTCCACAATAATAAGCTCACACCAATCACTGACCAGCCCCGAGTTCAAACTAACGTTTCTGCTAAATGTGACAAAGTGAACGCTAGCCTCAGCGTTTGACCTTTTTCCGTCACATGGCTTTTCACGGCTAATACAGCCTTAAAATTGATACCACAACCAAGGAGTTTTGTATGGCAGCTTTTTTTTAAATTGAAAGGATAAAGAACCATCGGTCTATAGGAGCAAACAGTGAAATGGAGACAAAAGTTATCCATCAGTCGTAACACTTTCGGTGCCTAGCTGCCATGTCACTCGAAAGGAGCATGAGGGCTGGGATGCTGCTAGTTTACCCAAGCCTAGACAGGAGAAGTCGAGATGCAGAAGACGGTTCGGACCACGGACCTTCCGATCAGTAGATGCACGTCCTAACCATTCGACCGTTTCGTTCCCTATGTTACTACGAACAGCGCACGATAATCACGAACTTCTGGAGCATGCCATGTTACGCAAACGTGTTGAAAACAACTAGCCGGTCGATAGAATCGAGCGCATACGTTGAGTCAAGTAACAACAGGATTCTAGGGCGTCTAGCCGCATGTTGTTGCTTTACCACTTGCAAGGGATGTAAAGATGTGGTCCACACAACCTATTCCAGGCAGCAATCTTGCTTACTGTCCACGGCTCCCATCTTCACGCGCTCCACTGGATGTTCGCTGGTAATCCGTCCAGCCCCGTGGTATTTCGGGCAGGTCCATTTTTGTCTGCTTCAAGTAGCCCATTGTCTTAAACTGCAATATTGATTAAAGTAATGGAGCGTTGATAAGTGGGAAATCGAAACCCGAGGTGGTCTTCAGTAAAAAAGGTTTGTTGATCAGCTGGAGGGTTTTTGAAATTTGGCTGATAATGATGTCAGCTCGTAGAGTGGGTCTCACCTTCGGTCCTGTATGGCTTGATAACTGCACGCATTGTGCAGACATCTGGAGTGAGTAGTGTCAGGACATTCTTGCCTGGTACTACGTGAAACACCGTTAAGATGTTGGAAAGACAGCAAAAACTACCTGAACAGACAAAACGAAGGGAATTACTAAAACTACGGTCTGTTATTTGTACAACCAGACGATGTAATACGAACATCGCAGTGGGCTACCTCAACTATGAATACTTAAGCTTGTGGGTTTGACAGAGACCAGAGAGAACAGATAGGTTTAGCGCCACAAAACAGCACAATACCGCACTTACTAAAAACGAATATAACACCTTTGGTAGTTCCAATAATCAGGTGAGTCCGGTACGACTAGAAGGAAAGGGAAAGCAAAATTTAGCGCATGGATCCAAGTTGCTTCGAAAAAATAAGATAATCAACCATCTAACTGAATTTTTCCGGCGCCTATTGAAATATCAGTTTCTTAAACATAGAACTAGGGCAGTCAAAACAAACCAATCATTCAACCAACATGGAAAAGCGGAAATATCCGTAGATATTCAAGTTCCGCCAGTTAACAAGAACTGTTTTGAGCGAATATTACTCAGCTAAAAGAAATCGGGAGCGAATATGTGTGCGCTCACCATCCCTGTACCGAGCTAGGTTAGGACAACGCAGATCGAGGATACTCATGGATGTTCGTAATAAGTTATCACTTATCACTTAAAACAATGGCGTAGTTTTGACACAACATATAAATGCTATCAAATGCGCGCAGACCTAAAGTCGCACTTATCAATGGAAGATGATTGGGGAAGGAAATACAAGTGGCCTCAAGAACGACGATGATTTTCAAATTATTCCACTTCCTCCACTGAGACTTAGGACACCTGCGCTGAAGAGCAGTAAGTTTCCGAAAACCACAGCTTGGTTAAATATTTGCTTATGTCAAGAAAAATGTTGGTCGACTTTCCAGTGTAAAACTGATAGGCTGATAAGGCACCCGACAAGCCTGGTTACTGCTCATCCTTCCAAACTGCTGCTGACACAGACAACGAATGGTGTGGTTGGTTTACGAAAAACCATGTCCAAGGAGCGATGAGCTTTGATAAAACCAAGTCGCACCACTCTCGTGTTGTCCCTGCTTTGACATTCAATGCTTATTGAGTGGCAAAGCTGGATGCCGCCATCGCAAAAAACAACATAATAAGCACAATAACCACACTTGCCTCGCTTGTAGTCTAATGTGCTTGATGATCCGCTACCACTTGAATTCATTAAATAGTCAATCTAAATGGGACTGGTCTATTGCCCTGTACTACAGCGCGAATCGCAACCACCACACAGTTGTGAAAATGCGACCCAATGATGCCTGCGGTGCGCATTCACCCCATGTAATGGACAGAGCTGAACACGAAGGAATCAGTAACGATAACAACACGTTCCAAAATGGTGCAGTCAAAGTAATTACCAGTCGTACGGTGGAAAACCACAAACTCTGGAATGCCGCCACGTTATCCACGCCCAAGTACGAGAGTTCAAAAAGGCTGGGATTATTTCGAACCGGACACTCCACAATAATAAGCTCACACCAATCACTGACCAGCCCCGAGTTCAAACTAACGTTTCTGCTAAATGTGACAAAGTGAACGCTAGCCTCAGCGTTTGACCTTTTTCCGTCACATGGCTTTTCACGGCTAATACAGCCTTAAAATTGATACCACAACCAAGGAGTTTTGTATGGCAGCTTTTTTTAAATTGAAAGGATAAAGAACCATCGGTCTATAGGAGCAAACAGTGAAATGGAGACAAAAGTTATCCATCACGAGGGAGTTCATCTGAGACTGTACTTGTAATCAGCAGCTCAAAATCATAAGAACGGCGTATTCCACAGGGCTGTAAGCAACCACCACAAAATGGGTGAACAAATTACCAGACAAGATGGCGAACCGATGTCCATTTTGGATGACAAGCTGTTCAGTTGACTAGCAATGCCGGACAGCATGGCGTACTGGAAAAATGTGGATTGGTTTTGGTCTCTTCCTGCCGTCAATAAGCTGCTTTGCTGGCTCACTGTATCGCCGATGGCACCCACAGCTCCGCTGACACTACCATGAAGCAGAGCGTCCGAACTAGTTACGGAGAATCTTTCCACGGCAGTAGCTAGTCGTGTCTGCTGTAGGTCTGCTTCAATATCGGAGTCAAGTCGATCCTAAAAACCGAGTTCCGAATGTACCGAAAGACAAAATGGATAAACCTACGTCAGACGTGATTGATCCGGCCAAACTAGTTACGTCTGGCGAGCTGATAGTTGGAGACTCAAAGTGATTGTCGTTCATCCTGAGGAGTATAATAATGATTGTAGTGATGTGCCCTCAATCTGCAACCGGATAAAGATACACGGGCGAGGGTCCTCACTTCTTGACGAATTATATATGGAACACAAGTGGATGGTGGAGAAAACCGACTACGCAAGGATGATTCAAATCGCCTGTACCAAGGAAGTGGAACGTTGGCGTGAAACTCAAGTGTTTGACAGGCGTGCAGCTAGCATGGAGAAACAAGTATTTCAGACACCATAAGCCACTCTGAAAACGATACACACAGAAAGGACGAAAACCCATTGCGAATAATACCGTTGTCCATAACGAGCCACCAATCCTTCGAACAAGGAATTACAGAAACAAGAAGCGTATTGGTACGAGGTGAAAATTGATACAGCTTTTCAACATTTTTGTCTGACCCTACACACAAAACCATACCTAAATAACAGAATCGTCCACCGGTTTGTGAGGCGTATACTGTGAAATTCATATACATACAGAAGAACCATGCAAATCTCATCCTGAGAGATGCAAAATTCGGTCCTTCTCCACGACCGTTGATGGGCTTCAAGCTTCAACTGTGGCGGATATAGGTTGGAGATAGTTTTTTAAGGATCCAGCACGTTCTCCAAACCAGATTCACCTGGACAACCCCGATTTCAAGCAGGTGAATTTCGACTAACAACTGTTTGACATTGCATTAGGTCCCATTTCGCTGTGGAAAAGAAACCTTCAGCTCATGAGTAAAGCGCTGTTGGCCCAAGTGGTTAGAGCGCGAATTTACTGACCAAAAGGTCCGTGGTTCGAACCTGATCTCTACCTCTCGACTTACCCTGTCTAGACTTTGGCAACCTGGCAGTATCCCATCCCTCGTTCAATCTTCGGGTGGCATGGCAGTTAAACAATGAAAGGGTGCTACAGCTGAACGATTTTTTACAGTGCTGTTGATGCATCGGTAATCAATCACTCTGCGCGAACGGCGACGTTCGTGAAGTCAGCATAACAGTGCGTCTCATCCCTATAGCATTTTGTCTTACAAAGGAAAAGGAGAACATAGAGTCAGGAAACCCATGTAACACTAACTTGGATAAGAGCAAGAAAAAACTGTGAAACATGAAGTGGTACACTAGTGCGTAAAAATAAAAGTCATGTAAGTGGATGACAACTGTCAGAATCACTGACATTTTTAGAGATGACGGTTACACAGTTCTGAAAACTCGGAAGTTCTAAGAGGATTGAAGCGTAGAAAGTGGAAGACAACTCCAAAAGCGAGCAGTTCTCGGGAACAGTAAGGATTTGTAGGCCAGCGACAGTCATGGACAAAGTTGGAAAATGTGGATATCGGCTACCGATGCAGAGCCCCCATTAAAGATTGTCGTTCCTTCTGTGGTATGCAACTTAATTCTGATCATGCCATTGTGTGAGCTCGGTTATCGCTTGGCTTTCCGTCACTATTACATGTGCCAAAACAGAGCAGTACCATTCATTAACCTCAAGAAGTTTCAGCTGCTCAAGGAGTATCTTGATGCCGCTCTGGCTAGAAACCTACTGGATGACGAAGATTGGTTGGAGGTTAAATAGTAGCAGGTTGAAAAGCTATGTAATCGGATTTCGGAACTGTTTGTCCAATTTGTCTAATTCAACTAAATGAACACTGTATATCATCGAGATTAGAGAGTCTTATTGCTTTCACAAACGCCATACCACACACTAGCAACTGCGATAATGCACGCAGATCCCGGACCGGATACTAGAGCGGTGACGACTTGCAGAAACCAGTCACCGATTGCAAGGGATCAGGAAACAGAGAAGCTTTTCGCTGCAGGCAACAGCAATGCCCTATCCCGGATGACCCCATCAACCGGCCAAAGCTAGAAAAGTATCAGCGAAACAATATGCAAAAACGACGGAGGGTCAATTCACTCACAAAGTGGTCAACTTCGTCGATTAGTGGAACAATTAAAACAGACCAGCTGGCCTCCAGCACAAACTTGTGGAAGAACTCAGCTGTTCTGAATGGAAAATCGACACCAAGCTGCCACCGGCAACACAAATCCAGCGTGAAATACCACTCCTCCTGGCTAGGATGGCCCGAACCCCGCACTCATCAAAGTTCGTGAGGTCTTAGTGAACAATCGGGCGATCGTACTCCAGAAAATTTGGAACAAAAGGCGCATGAACATCATGATAAAAACCATCGGGACACCATCGTCGCATGTGGGGTGTTATTTGGCAAAATAATTTCGCGCAGGTTGGTCGATCACGTGGACAGACATTTTTGTGAGAGTCAAGCAGAGTTCTGTCCTGATTGAAGATGCATTGACCATATATTACCTCAAGTGGTTAGAGCGCGAATTTACCGAACGGAGGGTCTGTGTGTCGAACCCGACCTCGGCCTCTCGACTTCCCCTGTCTAGGGTTGGGCAGGTTAGAGCGGAATTTACCGAACGGAGGGTCTGTGTGTCGAACCCGACCTCGGCCTCTCGACTTCCCCTGTCTAGGGTTGGGCAACCTGGCAGTATCCCAGCCCTCGTACTTCCTTCGGGTGGCATGGCAGCTAGGCACCGGAAGGGTGTTGCAGCTGAACGGTTTATTTTATATTTTTTTACCTCGAGATTCTCGCACAACACCACTCATTTGGACGTCCGATGACTGTTATTTTTTTGTCTTAAAGCCGCTTTTGACTACGCCTGTCGCCAGAAATTTCGGCGGTTTTTGGTGATTAAGTGCATCCATTTCAAATTTATATTCCTTATGGTGGCATTTTATGCAAACTCCTGTGAACGGATGCGAGTACACAGCAGGCGTCGCCCGAGTTCAGAACGTCCAGCGGTGTAAGGTAAAGCTTCATACTCTTGCCTTTCCTGTTCAAGTTTCTTACTGTGATGCTTGAAGTTCCTCCGCCTGCCTCTGAAACCTGCGGAGTCGAAATGCTTCCGGAAAGTTCCTTACGGATATTGCGTATGTGAACAACATTGCTTTCTTTGGTCCGGATTTTTCAAAAATGCAATCATATCATCATCACAGCAGTGTTGACACCGGTGCTTTACTGCAATGTAACCATTAAGTTTGTCTGATTATATTTGAAGCCTTAGAGTAAAGATAAAGTGTCTTCTATGTCAAACATTCTGGGGTGCACACACTTCCAAGCGCTCAATATGACAATCTGGGAAGAAATTGACAGCACGAACGCATTGAGACCGATCAACCGACGTTTCTGGCAATGTATCCAACCAAGCGCAGGTCACGGAGACCCTATCCTGTAAGGCGCACTGCATCAACAACACCCAACCCCTTCGTAATCTCTTTCACATTCTTCTACCAAATCATGCGTTGTCCACCTCGTGCTTTCAGCCATTCTGAAGGAAGCACGGGGAACAACACTCATCTCCGTAGACGGTGTTTCGGTGCAAGTAAAACATGACTAAGTCATTGTACTGGATGTTTTCCGTGGCTGCTGCACAACAGTCCAGTATACTGGGCTTCGTGAACACCTACCTTCATACAATCACTGTCCTCCTGCTTATAAGCAAGGTTGTACATCACCAATACTCACATATAAATCAAACTGGCAGACACTATGCTAGAGTGGTCCACTTTTTGAAGAACACCGTTATCAGTGTACCATGGCCTAGGTAAACCGGCCGGTGGTGTGGAGCGTGTAGAAAGGTTGCCGTGTCGGGGTGGGCGTCGGTCGTGTGATTTGGCAACGTTCCAACTCTTAGTATACACATGTATACAGCGAGGGACTTTGTGGTAGGATCACCTATATGTAGTAACCATCCTGGCGTGGCCACCATTTGTGTAGTAAGCGCCAGGGGACAGTGACTCGCCGAAGGCAAGTGTTCACGACAATCTCTGTGGATGGAAAATAGGAAGAAAGACCATGACCTGAAGCCCAGCAACGTTCTATATAACTAATACTTACATATAAATAACCGAAATGGCGGGCACCGTATACCACAACTGCAAGGAGTATCGCGGTATTAGGGGCGCGTTCGGTGTTTGTTTTGAATTGCTCTTATGACATGCTCCCACACTTCAGCATCGTGGTTCGCTGTTGATTCCTTGAGCGTCCATTCGACAACTGGCTCTTCTGTCCCGGATGCTTAACAACTGTCTTACTGCATTTTAGTGAAATTTGAGGGTCTCGGCAAGTTTCGGGTATTCTTGGATTTTTTCGGGAGTATTAGCTTCCTGACGCTTGAGATTGTCGTATTCAACAATTCTGAGGTACATTATATGATTTTGGAAGAGCACTCCTGCAATAGATTAGTTACGTATGACCAGTAGGTTATGTTTCTTATGACGTGCTCCGCACGCCCCGGTCGATTTACTTCATCAAGTCCTGTTCTAAGTGGAAACGCGAGAGATTGAGGCAGTCTGATCCGGCAACGGAGTGGCAAAGAACCAACTTTCGTTTCCCCGGATGGGGACACAGGGACTCGTAGACGGTCAAGTACAAAAGCAGATATACCTCGATTGCGTTGTCAGTGGCTCTCGTGCATCAACGCTGTCATCTACACTATTTCGCAGAGGGTTCCCCACACCTTTAGGTAACCAGACCGTTTCAGTAGGAACCAACTGACTAAGCTATCACCTCCAATGCCTGTCTATACTTTTTCGGTAATCTCTGTGGAAAATAGGAAGAAAGACCATGACCTGAAGCCCAGCAACGTTCTATATAACTAATACTTACATATAAATAACCGAAATGGCGGGCACCGTATACCACAACTGCAAGGAGTATCGCGGTATTAGGGGCGCGTTCGGTGTTTGTTTTGAATTGCTCTTATGACATGCTCCCACACTTCAGCATCGTGGTTCGCTGTTGATTCCTTGAGCGTCCATTCGACAACTGGCTCTTCTGTCCCGGATGCTTAACAACTGTCTTACTGCATTTTAGTGAAATTTGAGGGTCTCGGCAAGTTTCGGGTATTCTTGGATTTTTTCGGGAGTATTAGCTTCCTGACGCTTGAGATTGTCGTATTCAACAATTCTGAGGTACATTATATGATTTTGGAAGAGCACTCCTGCAATAGATTAGTTACGTATGACCAGTAGGTTATGTTTCTTATGACGTGCTCCGCACGCCCCGGTCGATTTACTTCATCAAGTCCTGTTCTAAGTGGAAACGCGAGAGATTGAGGCAGTCTGATCCGGCAACGGAGTGGCAAAGAACCAACTTTCGTTTCCCCGGATGGGGACACAGGGACTCGTAGACGGTCAAGTACAAAAGCAGATATACCTCGATTGCGTTGTCAGTGGCTCTCGTGCATCAACGCTGTCATCTACACTATTTCGCAGAGGGTTCCCCACACCTTTAGGTAACCAGACCGTTTCAGTAGGAACCAACTGACTAAGCTATCACCTCCAATGCCTGTCTATACTTTTTCGGTTACTGCAGCAATGGCGGCTGCAACCAACCTACCCTCAGTACACGGTTTATGGCCGATAAACTGACTGGCAAAATGACAACAGGAAAGGAAACAGATTTGTTGTGCAGCGGAGGACATAAGGTTGATATGGTTGACTTGAAGAAAATATGTCCAACGTTTCACATGCTTCCGGTGTCAAACTTAAACCAACATGGAGTGGTACAACTCCGTAACGTTCAACGGCGTCCAATTTAATGGTGTTTCCTATCTCACCAACTAAATGCATCTCGGCCCACCAAACCTGGATTGGAGTGATGGGCTTGAATTCCTTGAGAACCCCCCCCCCAACGCTTATGTCGTGCATGGTGAAAATGGACCAGAAGACATCACGATGATGGACGCCAGAAAGGATTTGGGTACCTGACGTCATTCAAACATGTTATTCTCACCGCACAATGGAAAATCGGTCCAAAAGAGATTCGCCGTTCTACGGACTCGGCGCATCTTCTCCGTATTATTTGCAACGACTTCCAAATACTCTATGGGGACTACGTCAAACCGTTTCTTTAGTATACCAACCAAGTCGTCTACTCAGGATACACGAAGGATGCAACCCTCATTGAACGTATCCAGCGAGCTGCTACGAAAATGGTTGCCGGCATTAAATCCGTGAACTATGAAACGTGTCTCGTGCTGCTTAAGCTCTTTCCCCTGGAGTATCGTCACCTGTGAGGAGATCTAATTCTTAATTGTGCCCTGTTTGGACCGTTGACCCAGCAAGCGGGGAGGTGGTAACAAGATTTTCAAGATCAGAGTGCAACTTCATTAGGCAAAAGTCTTTCTCATTTCGAGTATTATCTGCATGGCATAACTTTCCTCAGACAGTTGTACACGCCCTTCTGTAACCCAGTTCAAAGCACTATTAGACACTTTTATGCGAGTCCTTGCGTTGACGAGCTTACTGTCCCGCGCTGAGAACGTAGAGGCAGTGCTGTACTCCTTTTCGCTTATTGCATTTCAGCCGCTGAACAAGAACAAAACAGACCCGGGAAACTTGGGTGAAAGCCTCGACACTGTGTATCAATCCGTGAATCCGTGGACAAAACTGAGGAATATTCGACAAGTTTTCCCGTGACACTGGTGGCCCTCCTACGACAGCCAGTTCATTATCTTCGTTGGAAATCAAGCGCGAGAGGTATTTCGGATTGCACACGTGTGTCCGTCAAGCAAATCAACTTCAGACAGCAGACCTTGGCCTTACTAGGGATCCACGCTATAAGCATAAACAGAAAACCGACACCGCGGGCATACAAGGCAGTACCCAGAACATATCTCGAGCGAAACCACAATGCTCCGTGTGTGTGCTGACAGGCGACTGCCACCCATCAAGACATCACAAATCATTTCCTAGTTGCGGCCGGATTAAGAACAGCTACAGGTGTCCGAAAGCAAGCCGCTTGAAACAACCGAGTATTCCGATTGGACGATAGTTTCGCAAGCCGCTGTGGCCAGAAGACTCGGCAGTCGCGTGACACGCCCTTGATACGGGACAAAAAATAGACATAAAATTTGAGGTTTTGAGGCAAGGACTACCGTCCACCTCACAGAGGCTGCTAGCCGAGATGGTAGAAATCGCCCAGCATCCCAATGTTAACAGAATAGGAGGCGTGGAACTAGCAAGCGGGTGGAAAACTGTCTTGGGTCAATCGAGCTAACACGTGTTGGTGTGTGATTATCAGACGGATTGCACCGGATTACACTGGATTATACTGGATTACACTGGATTACACTTAACCTTACGCACCTTCCCTCCCCCAAACCAAATTGTCACAATATTCACTGTCCACGCAGATTGCGGCGATTTGTACCTTTATATTACTTCCATTGTAACACTACGTATTTCATCAGTTGCATAATCGTTTTTTGTTTGAATACCAAAAACTACAAAAACGCGCACTTGTACAATTTCACAGAATACAAGCGTGGTCACGTGCTTCGACCCTCTCTTCTGATTTCGCTCGCGCTTGCAGCGGTCATTCGCGAGTCACATGTACTAACCCTGGCACCAAAACATTTCAGACATCTTCGGAATCTGTTATACGTGGGAACTGTTCAGAAGAAGACCTCTGGACCAACATAATTGGATTATTGTTTATTCGCTGATCTGGGCCAACGACTAACTATTTTAAAGAGAACAATGGTTAGTGAGTCTGT